CTAAATCTGCATGATGAGCACCATCCAGGACACATACGTGTTATGTTGCCTTTCAAGAACCCGTTACTACTTCTGTAAAACTACCAGTCTAATGGTGTATGATACTGACGAAGCATGCGAGTAGTATATGGTATGGTGTCCAAGCGCCGAACTCACATCTGATGGAAGGTGAAGTTTATTGTGGAAATTTGGAAACTGGCCTACAGTGTTCGACCACTATTTTATAGTAGTCGATGGATATCCATGAAAGTTCATGGCCAGTTTCTAAAGACTGAGGGCAAATGAGATGTATACTTTTCGCGTCTAATGACCTATAAATGCTTACTTTGTGTTTGTTAATAAATGACGAAAGGTTTCCCCTTTCAACAGTTGAATGTTACAGTGCGAAATACTGACCGTTCCTAATGAGCGGGCTGAGTAGTATCCCTTTTAGGGATGGCGCCACATAAGTGGTGAGACGCAGCGCTGAGGTTGACGCTCGAACTCGCCGTGTTTCATTGATATCACGGAGGAACATCAGTTACGTTCAATACCGAAGCTATCAGCTAGAAGACCCGGCTTTTAGTCACGTGATAAGCAGAGGTGTGCAATCAAGGGATTTTCTGAAAACTTACTTGAAGTGTTTTGACACTAGGATAGAAGGAACTCAGGACCATTTCGAGTCGCCCTTGAACATGATACAACCTCATAAAAAGAAAGTTGTGGTATAGCGATGGATACTGCTGGTGAAGCATGCAAGTAGTGTGTGGTTTTCTCATAAATCAGCTTCACATCTATTGAAAAGTGAGATTTATTACGGAATTTGTGGAATCGCTTTGTAGCATTCGTTTACGTTTGAACGACAGTCAATGAATATCCATAAAGTTTAGGAAGACGCGTTCGAGAAGATGGACTGGACATCAAGTTTTGCAAACAAGATGCATATGAGGGCTTTGCTCCCCTGTCTAATAATCCGTAACTCAACATCATCATCCAGCATGACATTTCAGGAAGACGCGTTGCTCAAGGAGAATATGGACATCAAGTTTTGCAAACAAGATGCATATGAGGGCTTTGCTCCCCTGTCTAATAATCCGTAACTCAACATCATCATCATCGACAGCATGACATCAGTGTTCAACACTGATGCTTCACTGCCGTGATCCGTAACTGTTCAGTTGGTGTTTCTCTAGTAAACAACTCCGCAGCGAAGGCCTTCCTCCTTTCACTAGTTTTCACGTGTTAATTCCTGTGGGCAATTAAATGATTTGCGGCAGACCAAACTGATGTACGTTCCTGCAACTCTCGTGATGAATACGAGTGGCATCTGTGGGAATGGGTACTAGGAACGATTTGGAAACCACCGCTACAAGGTGACGTGTTCCTGGAACCAAGTTGAGCTAGCTGCTTTTCTTTTAGGCGGGAATCCTCTCCTCAGATTCCCAATCTAACGCGGCTAAATCTTCTTTTCTTACGGCTTTACCTGTAAACGGTTTATTTTGCCGGTGAATTAAGACGGCATCTTATGCGTTCTGTTATTACCCCAATGAACACTAAAATCCGTCATATAGATATCAAAGAATTACTGTCTCGCCTGTTTGCACGAATAAACCTTAAAGGAACGAACATCATTCCGCGCGCTCCAAAACAATTGTCATCCGACACTTTGGTCGCTCGAATACTATTCCATGTACACTTGAAAATGACTGGAAAATGTCGTCATGTGTAGGGATAGAAACTGTGTTGTCCGAGCTCACTTGAAGATCTAGTTTGAATAGAAAGGGAAAAAGTGTGGGGAATGTGCGTATGTTAGTGGATTCACATTCCGAAATACAGGTTGTTCGCGAACGTTATTCGTGTGCGAAATTTCCTAAGGAAAATCGGTGAATACACCCTCACATCACACCCATTTGAACAGCCGTCTTCGTGTTCCCGTACACATATTCCGAGCATCCACATCGAAGTGCGTAAGTACTAAACTCGAGTTTCTCTCTTATTGCAGTTCACCAGTGGTGCTTGTCTTTGACACTGGCG